CTGAACAATCTGCCTGACGATCTCCTAGTTAGGATTTTCTGGCACTCTAACCGCGGTAGTTGTCGACTATCCGACTGTGAGCTTCCGTGGGACCGATCTAGGGCTGGGCGAGCTAAACAGATCCTTGTTGAACCTGACGTGCCGTTTCATGAAGACATTGAAATTCCATCACCGAAATTTCCTGCTTCAGCGGACGCTGCTCACAGCCTTAGTATCGCAGCTGTTTGCCGTCGATGGCGCACTCTCGCTCGGCTTAACGTTTCGACGCTGTTCGTCGGAGAATACCGCGTCGTTTCGCTCCAGGATCTCTCCAACTCCGTCGCCTGCTTCCCGAATCTAACGCATCTTCACCTCTCTGCTAACAGCGTGGAAAATATTGACGACGCTTTCCTCGATCATCTCGCATCGTCGTGTCCTAAGCTGAAAGATCTCCACGTGGCAAAAGAGAACGCGCCAGACTATTGCGAAGATGCAGAGGATAAGAAGTTTCATCCGGTGACCAGAGCTGGTGTCGACAGTTTTCTTCGTCGCTGCTCTCGCCTGGAGCAGCTGACACTCCACTGCTTCCACGAATGCGACAAGTTACCGCCTTCGTTCTTTCATCTCTCGAACCTGCGCTTGATGTTCCTGACCGACGTTTCGATTTTGGAGGATTCAAGACTCCAGAATCTTTCTTCATTATCTACTCTTGTCATCGAGACGGGAGACTTAAAAGAAGAGGATTTGATACCTCTCGCTCACCTCCCTAGCCTTACCAGCCTATCCTTCATGTGGGAGACTCATGTTAGACTCTTTTCTTTCGCACAACTTCCATCGCTTCAATCTCTGGAATTCGACTTTAATTCCCCCAAATTCAACTTAGCGTTCCCTTCAGGATCCGCGTGCAGCTCTCTGAAGCGTCTCGTGCTAGTAGATTCCCGCGACTTTCCGCGTTTCCCTGATGACATTGGGGACATGTTTCCATGTCTTGAAGAATGCAGCCTCACTGATTGCTGGGATTTGACCGATTTGTCTGACGCGTTCATGTCCCTCAGCAGCTTGCAGAATTTGAAGATTTGTTCGTCCAAACTCGAATTTCTGCCGGAAAACTTCGGGGAGTTGCTTGCCTTGAAGACATTGGTGCTGGATTCGCTCCCACTCTCATATCTACCGGACTCCTTCAGCCGACTTTTATCCCTAGAGACCTTCTGCCTGGTCAATTGTAATAACCTCTACCAGCTGCCTGCAGGATTCTCGTCCCTTCCCTCACTCAAACTGCTATGCCTTCAATCGGTGACAAATGTCTCAGTTCCGGAGGATATTGGGGAGCTCACCAGCCTACAATCCGTTTTCCTGATTTCTCAGAAAGCACAGCAGCAGCTGCCATCTTCATTCACTCAGCTTTCGTCTCTAACACGGCTTGAGCTCGATCAGTGCGCACTAACTGAGATTCCTGAAGGCATCAGTCGGCTGACAAAGCTCAACGAGCTCTACATCCACTCATGTGCCGCTATGCAGGAGCTTCCTGAGTCAATTACAAGCCTCAGGCGCCTGGAGATGTTGAGGGTTGTGAAGTGTACTCGGCTTACTTGGATGCCCATGAGTCTGGAGGGTCTTGTCAGGCTCAAGAGGCTGGAGATTAGAGGATGGTGCGCTGCTGCAGAGACTTCCGACAAATCTGCCGCATTCTCTTGAGCGTTTGTCCTTCCCGATCAACCAGCAGCACACCACCCCATTGTCGCCATTCTCTATGTTGTCAGAGCTGAGGGGGCTGCCTTGGGGAACCGGTGATGTCACTTATGATATGATGCGGAGCCGAGATTTTTCATGTCTGACGCGATTGGAGCTGGTTTTGGCAGGTGATGTGCAGGAGATTCCTTTCTTCTTGGCATCTCTTTCTCACCTTCGTACCTTGACAATCTGGAAAGCTGCAGGGCTGAAAATCCTTCCGGAGGATCTGGGCTCGACATTGCAGCAGCTGCGGCAGCTGCCCGTTCACGAGGCTGCGGAGTTGGATAAGCTGCCTGGAAGCATCGCAATGCTTCAGCACCTCACATCACTTGAGGTCCATGCGCCAAAACTCGCCTCCCTCCCTGATGGCATCGGCTCTCTGTCCAGATTACGCACACTGGATCTGTCTGAGTGCACAGCCCTCGTGCATCTCCCTGCTTCCCTCACCCAGCTCGCCTGCCTCAACAGCCTGCACCTGACTGGCTGCTCCATCCGCTCCCTCCCTCCCAATTTCGAAAGGTTGACCCGGCTCAGGATTCTGGACTTGGATAATTGCGAGCAGCTGGAGGCTCTACCAGAGGGGATAGCACAGCTCAAGGCGCTGCGGTGGTTGTCCGTTGGAGGTAGCAGAAGGTTGCCTGATGACGAAACCATGAAGGGGCTTGAGAAGATGTATGGGTTGAGGCTTCGTTAGCATTCCTTGGGAGCAGCATTGGTTGGAAGTGGTGGCGCTGTGTGGAGAGTAGTATGGTAATAATGCCAAGGTACGGTAGATTGTTGATGTCTCAAACGCCACATGGACTGTAAGAAGAGCATGCATTGAAGAGGAAGAATTTAGAGTAAATCAAATTTTGCTTGAGACAAAGAGTATGGTACAATATTAAGCAGCAAGGCCACTTCAGAAGTACATAATGGACAAGGCTCAACATTCCGAAGAAAACCGTGCCACGAAGCTTATGCAGTCTGTGTGATTGTGTGCGTCTACACCACCAATGCATCAGGCGAATGCTCATGCCTCAGCAGCATCTTCTGCGTCACCCTACTGTCCCACGCAACAGCACCAATCAGCAGCAGCCAGCAGCAGAACACACACGTACCCCCTCACACCACCTCGTCTGTACACCCTCTCGCCTCTTCTCACTCTTCTCCACTTCCCTTAACCCTGCTCGCCTCCCCTCCCCTCCTCAGTCTCAGACAGATCGTTGCCTCGTGCGGCACTGGCAATCCTCTTCCTGTGGAAACAGCAACGGGATGGCATCGGGGGGGAAACGGAAAGGGAGGAGAGAATGAGGGTCTGGCTGCGTTTGGTTCAGCCCTTGGCTTTGAGTGCAGGTTGGATGATGGTCAAATGAGGGTCGCACATAAGCAGCAGTTTGACAAAGCGCGGACAAGAAGGGTGGGGCAAATACGGAGGATTGAGGGAACCTTTTCTCAAAGCTATCAAAGGACGTAACACATGATGGATGGAAACGTTGGAGATTCTGGAAAATGATTTGTAACAAAACATGAACCGTCACAACAATCCAAGTGCTGAATTTGTTGTCCATCACTGTACTTCCTTTTAAGTGCTTGTCCCCCTTCCCCCCTTTTAATATCGACTATGCAACAGAACTCTTTGCCTGCCAAGTTTGAGCGTCAACACGTTTACAGTCTGTGCATTGCATTTACACACGAGGCTACCATGCCTTTACAACCACGACACACATTCACAACCATGACTCACAGTCACAGCCATGACATACCGTTACAGCCATAACATACCGCCATGGCGCACCGTTACAGCAATGGCGTACCTTGGCAGACACATCTGGACAACAACCATCACATACCCTGAGTTGTCCGAGGACTTTTGTCGTCGCTTCAACATCACCCCTTGAACCCGTGCTGCTACACCTACCGGCTTTCACGAGGCTTCGGCTTTGCGCTTTCAACACCAGAGCTAACAATCACGCGTTAAGAACACATTTCTTTTCCACTTCTCTGCTCTTCCCCATGAGTGAGGACCCCTGGGTCCTCACATTCGTGTAGCCAGCACTCAGGAGTTGAACTCACAAGAGGCCAACACGCCTTACACTTTTGCAACGCTCTGTCCTTCGCACGGCACAGCAGCATCACAGCCCCTGCAACTCCCCTCCGCCGCAGGCTCACCTTAGACTTTCACGAGGCTCTGTCGTTGCTTCTTGGACATTTTCTTGATCGTCTTCGGGTTCGTGATTCGTTGCAGCACGGCGCCCTTGAGAGCATTCTCTTCCTTCCGCCGCTGCTTCTCCTGCGCCGCCGCGCGCTTCGCCTGCTTGTTGCTCCTAATCTCCTCCTTCAACTCCTCCTTCCGCTCCCTATACGCCTTCTTAAGCTCTCGCTGCCTTCGCTTCTCTTCTAACGAAACCTCCTTCCGGCCGGTGACTCTTAGCGCGGATGACCTCGTCGTTCGCACGGTTTTCCATTTGCGACCCGAAGCCTTTCCTGCGATCACGCCGTCGTACGACGGTCGGCCGAACGACGGCCGGTTCTCGTCGTCAGCCATCGGAACGGCTTGCCGTTTAGCTGACGGCTGGCCGTCAGCGCCGTCTCCGTCAATTGCCATGTCGCCAGGTTGATCCGCAGCGGCGGCTTCCGCTTCCGCGGCTTCGGCGGCGGCTTTCGCCTCGCGCTCATCTTTTTGTCGTTTGCGCTTCTTATCCCCGCCTGTGCCCTCGTCCAGAAACCTGAAGTCCATCACTGGCTTTAAAAGCGCCGGAGCTAACGCCATTGCGTCGGAGTGCGAATCGACCAACTTTCGTTGATACGGACGGGCGGAAGGTAAGAATAGTAAGTCGAGACGAAGCGTTTCGGAGAAGGATAGAGGGGTGGGAGGTGCCCGCCTAAGTCTCCCTGTCACGGCTGCACTGCGCTGTGGGTGGTTTGTGCTTGCAGGGAAAGAAGGCACGAGAGGAAGGAGCAATTGAAAGGTGGAAGGAGGTTTTGGAGAGGGAAGGGGGATGGGGGAGGGGCAAGGAGGGTTCGGAGGAGTGAAAGGAGCCGCGCTATTGAAACCCTAACCTGGCTCGTTATTGTGAAGGGATGAGAGTTGGAACACGTGTTGCATCCTAGTTTACTTAGACATGCCTTAAATATCACAAAATACATTCGAGGAAAAATGCAAAATGGAGCAGGATTATGCTGGTTCTCATTCATGGCTGTTTAATCATATACTTTGCAGCGTTTAATAGAAATCCACATTCTCAAACTCTAAACTTGTCAAGGACCTCCCCAGCAGCAACCGCCACTTCATAAACAAAACCGTCACTCAGTCAGTACATTTGGAACTTTGACTTGGTGTTTTCAAACACCTCCTCCGCAGCAGCGGCCACGTGTCCCTCTGCCTTGTGGATCTGCAGACTCGCCTTCTGGTAGTAGGCCGTGCCACGAATGGCGTCTGCAATAAAATCATCAAATCCGATGGCCAGCGCTGCTTCTGCCTGCGCCCCGTACACCAGCCGCTGGTGGGTTGCGAAAGGGGAAGCGGGAGTGGGGATGGTGGGGAGGAGAAGATGAGAAGGTGAGGGGGTGTGAACATCTGGTAGGTAGTAGGCCGTGCCACGGATGGCATCCGCAATAAAGTCGTCAAATCCAATGGCCAGCGCTGCTTCTGCTTGCGCTCCATAGACTGGGCGCTGGTGAGTGATTGTTGGGGGGAGGGAGGGAGGATGTGGGATTCTGGAGGGGGTGTAGGGAACGTGTGTGGGTTCCTAGGAAAATGGCCTGTTACTGTTGCCAGACACTGTCTGGAGGACGTGGGCGAGGAGGGGAGTGCGGGATGCTGGCGATACCGGGGATGCTGGCGATACTGGGGATGCTGGCGATACCGGGGATGCTGGCGATACCGGGGATGCTGGCGATACCGGGGATGCTGGGGAATCTGGCGATGCTGGCGAAGGTGGCGATGCTGGGGATGCTGGGGAAGGTGGCGATGCTGGGGATGCTGGGGAAGGTGGCGATGCTGGGGATGCTGGGGAAGGTGGCGATGCTGGGGATGCTGGGGAAGGTGGGGATGCTGGGCTGGGGATAATGTCATATTTCAAAGTGGAATGGCGCATACAATGGTCGTGTATGCATCCTGTGAGTCGTCGTCACCGTTGTGGGTGGGCTGGTATCCTAGAGGGCGAGAGTTGTTTCAGGCGCTTAGAAGAGACTGAGGTTGGGGAATGGCAGGTCAGACAGACGGACCCTCATCATTTTTGAGTCGCCTACAAAAATTACCGAGTAAGAACAGATTTTGAGTCCAATCAAGGCTGAAAAGGCGACTCTCTAGTCGACTAGAAACGAAGGACAGGAAGGTGGTGAGAGTGCGGACGGGCGTACCTTGATCTTGGAGAGGTGGATGGCGCCGAAGCACATAGGGCACGGCTCACACGACGCATACAGCTCGCAGTCTGACAGGTCGTAACGACCCAGCTTCCTGCACGCCTGGGGAAAGGGAAGAGGAAGGGAGCACGCGAAAGGGTGGAGCAAATCCTAAGGCCTAGGTATGTGTCTGTCTCACAATTCAACAAGTTGCAGCTGCTCATCGCCGAGAGATCCCCAGCTCGCAGGCCTACCTTACGTACCGCACCGCACCATAGCATACCAGACCAACGCATGCCAAAAACACACCAGCAGAAGCATACCTCTCTGACCGCTGTGACTTCAGCATGTGCCGTGGGGTCCGTGTTCCTGAGCACCATGTTGTGACATGCCGCCACCACCTCCCCCTCTCAAGCCACCAGCATGCGGTGCACACATGCACAAAGACACACAGCGAGAGCCGTACCATGGTATGCCATACCTCTCTCACTGCCGTGACTTCAGCATGGGCAGTGGGGTCTGTGTTTTTTAGCACCATGTTGTGACACGCCGCCACCACCTCTCCCTCGCGCACCACCACGGCCCCAAATGGCCCCCCGTCGCCCACCTTCACGCCCTCGTACGCCTGCGCCACCGCCTGGTTCAAGTATGCGTGGTCCTGCTGCTGGATGGCTGGGAGGTGGGGGGAGGGACGATGGGGGGATGCGGGAATAGCAAGATAGGGGAGAGTTGGCGCACCTTCACACCCTCATACGCCTGTGCCACCGCCTGGTTCAAATATGCATGGTCCTGCTGCTGTATGGCTGGTGGAAGGGGGGTTGTGGGTATGGGGGAATGAGACGGGGCGATGGGGGTTGGTCAGTGCACCTTCCTTCATGCTCTCATACGCCTGTGCCACTGCCTGGTTCAGGTATGCGTGGTCCTGCTGCCGGGTGGCTGGGAGCAGGGAGGGATGGGGGGATGGGAATGCGGGAGCAGCAAGGCAGGGGAGGTTCGGTGCACCTTCACGCACGCCCCCATACGCTTGCTCCACGGCCTGGTTCAACTTTGAAGCATGTGGAATCCTGCTGCTGGATGGCTGGGGGGCCATGGGCGGGCATGGCATGAGGAATTGAGGCGATAGGGGGACAGTCAGTGCACCTTCATGCCTGAGTACGGTCGTTCCCCTGTGCCACTGCCTGGTGCAGGTATGCGTGGTCCTGCTGCTGGATGGCTGGGGCATGGGCGGATGGGGGCATGGGGAAATGGAGAAATGTGGAATGGGATGGCAAAGCTTGTATCTCAAAATCTATCCCTGAGAATACTCAAACACGATACATGATACGAGATACGGAGCATAGACACCGTGCCGCATCGCTGCACCGTGCCGCATCGCTGCACCGTGCCGCATCGCTGCACCGTGCCGCATCGCTGCACCGTGCCGCATCGCTGCACCGTGCCGCATCACTGCACCGTGCCGCATCACTGCACCGTGCCGTGCAGGGGCAGCTGAGCTGGCATCCTCGCATGCATGGCAAGGAGGTCAATGCGAACGCAGCGATGCGGCAGCAATGGCATTAAGAGACACACTCACAATACCTTGACTTGCACACTGTGACCGCCATCTCATGTTTTTTTGAGAATTCTTTTAATACATATGTTTTTTTTAGAATTCTCAAAAAACATACGCGGCACCAATGGCTTTGAGAGACACACTCACAATACCTTCACTTGCACACTGTGACCGCCACCTCACCTTCTTCGTGTGCCGCAAACTCAGCAAGAATCGCTGCCAGTGTGGGGACAGAAAAATGGTGTGGGGGGAGAACGGGAGGGATGGAGATGGCAAGAGAACGATTGGAGATCAGGCAGTGACGGCAAGGGGGAGAGTACGAGGGAGAGAAAGGCCAATTAGGAAAAGCGGAGGAGAAGGGAAAGAATAAGAGAGAGATTCATAAAAAAACAAGAAAAAATCGAACATTGACGACCATTTTCCGTGTCCGTCCGTACCACGGCTGCTTGTTTGTATCCCGTTCATACATACCATTCATACATACCGTTCATACATAGCTGTAGGGCAGTCACACCTACGGCTAGGAGTACAGCCCGTATCATGTTCAAAACGTGTAATTCCTGTACCACACTGTACCACGCTGTACCAGGCCGTACCCATTCGCGCACCTGTTGGGGCTCTTGTGGGGTCCGACATGCTCAGGCAGCTAGCGGCGGAGAGCGGATTGCGAAAACTCGAACGAAAGCTGCGAGAAGTAGCGAAATGGTCGAGGTCTAATCACAAACGATTTCCTGGTACAGTAAAAAGAAGCTCGGGATGTTCCCTAGACTACCACAGTCCACCAGAGGACGCAGACGGCCAAATTTTCTGACATGCGGAGTAAAAGCTAGTTTGTCAGATTCTGCGAGCTGGAACAATCTGGTTGCACTGGGACAACCCTGACGACCCTGACGAGACACACCCTTGACTGACGAAGGAACGACCAATATATATTACGAAATACGTCGCTTGTACGAGAGCAAAAACCAGACAAGGGACGACCTCTACGAGCTTCAGAACCGACCGTAATGGCCAGAGTAGTTGCTGCTCTTAGTAGTAGGGTGATGTGTGTGTGTGCAACAGCTAACAGGCTCCAGTCAAGTATGCTGGTCACAGCAATGGCGGCCTTGACGAAGCGGGTGAAAGGATTGGTGGATGTACAGAATTCTGCAGCCCGCTAACCCTAGGAAAATGCTCTGAACCGTTCTCAACCGTAATCACAGAACCGTACATTCTTCAGTGGTTCGCTGATGCCACTTTGATCCGTTTGATTGGTCGATAATGACATGCTGGTGACAAAGATGGATTCGTTATAGACAAACACCAACAAGAGCAGGCGAAACACGTACTCATATGGGCTCCTCACAAATCCTGTAATTTCAATCATTTGGACAAAAAATGCACTTACCCTAGAAGCTTCGTTGCAGGCATTTGAAAGGCAGTAATACAACACACAGGAAATTTGCAAAACCCATGTCTAATCATCATCTTCATCATCTCCCTTCTCCTCCACATGCCTCTTCACAATGTTTTTTACATAATCCTTTTGTACCCGCTCCATCACTGCTTCCTCATCCTCGTCCTCGCTTGCTAAAACAGGCCCAACCTTGCACAACGCAAACGCCACATCTGCAACCAGCACAAAAAAACACAATTAGCGAAAAACAGCACAAAAAAGGGATCACATTGTAAAGTAGCGAGCTACCTCACATAACCACAAAAGAATGTTGCAATACGTCTCACTCACCTTGTGTGGTGCAGTTCTTTCCTCCGAACTGGTGCATGCCAGCCAGGGTGGCCTTGAGGGCCCCCTTGTGGTACACGAGCAGCGTGGGCAGGTGCGCATCGGGGTAGTTGGGGATGCACTCAGTGCTCACTATGCGCACAAACTTGGTCTGCGGGTGCGAGCGAGCGAGCTCTGAGAGACAGTTGCTGATGATGCTGCAAGCTGCCACACTGGGAGGGGATGAAATGGGATGGGATAAGATGGGAGAGAGGGTAGAAGAAACAGGAGTGGATGGGTTGGGGATGCACTCGGTTCTCACTATGTGCACAAACTTGGTCTGCGGGTGCGAGCGAGCAAGCTCTGAGTGGCAGTTGCTGATGATGCTGCAGGCTGCCACACTGGGGAGAGGATGGGATGGTAGAGAGGGTGCAGGGATAAAGAGTGGCACTGTGGATAAGTTGTGTGCTCACTAGCACACTCGAATGGTGTGCAAGTGGCACTGAAATAAGAGTGTTTTTAAGACGTCTCAAAAACACTCTTATTTTGGGTGCAGGAATAAAGAGTGGCACTGGAAATAAGAGTGTTTTTTAGACGTCTCAAAAACACTCTTATTTTGGGTGCAGGAATAAAGAGTGGCACTGGAAATAAGAGTGTTTTTTAGACGTCTCAAAAGCACTCTTATTTTGGGTGCAGGAATAAAGAGTGGCACTGGAAATAAGAGTGTTTTTTAGACGTCTCAAAAACACTCTTATTTTGGGTGCAGGAATAACGAGTGGCACTGGGGATAAGTTGTGTGCTCAATAGCACACTAGATTGGTGTGCAAGTGGCACTGGGCGAGCTCTGAGAGGCAGTTGCTGGTGATGCCGCAGGCTGCCACACTGGGGAGGGGATTGGATGGGATGGGATGCGATGGGATGGGATGGGGGGCGGGCGGGCGGGCGGGGAGGGAGAGTAGTTGAGGATACACTCTGTGCTCACAATAAACACAAACTATGCCTGGAGGGATGTGGTTTGATGAGCTAGGAAAACGGCAGTTACCATGGCAGTCTTTGCTCTGGTGCAGTTCAAGTTGTGAGCCCCCTCAAAAGTCTTTGCTCTGGTGCAGTTCAATTCAAGAGACATGCCGCAAGCAGCAAGAGAGCTGTGTTTCGAGGAAGGTGCACTGCACTGCCACCAACCAACACACTGGACCCAATCCCTTTTGGTAAACCCCTGAGAGCATATCTCACTCAGCGAGCCCACACTGTCTTGAAAGTGCTGCTCACCTGCCTTGCATGGCAAAAGAAAACCTTCTCTGAGACGTCTCAAACCAACAACTCACACCTGGTTCACCAACAGCCCACGTGGCTCAAATCAATTTCAGGAACGTGTGAAAGCAACAACCACGTGGCTCACAAGCCTTTATGAAGCAACAGCCCACCTGTCACGGAAGAGGTGCACCACCACCCACACGCTCTGGCTCGCCTCCGTCACCTCCCTCACGAAGTCCGGCCCCGTAATCCTCTCCACCCCTCCGTACCGCGGCCGCGCCGCCGCCGCCCTCAGCTCTGCCACCCTCCGCCTCCTGGTGGGGATAAGCAGGAAATATAGAGCGAAGAGGGGGAAATGAGGGGGGGAGGGGCGACGCCTGTGCTCCAACCCTCCGTACCGCTGACGTGCTGCCACTGCTCTCAGCGCCGACTTTTGAGGCGCCTCAAAAGTTGCTCCAACCCTCCGTACCGTACAGCTGGCGTGCTGCCGCTGCTCTCAGCGCGGCCAACTGCCACTTCCTGGGGGGTGTGAAACAGCAGGCGAAGATGGATGGCGAGGGTGGGGGGGAGCATGGAAGGTAAATACAAGACGAGAGCAGCAAAGCGTGCCGAAAACCGTTCCTGGAGTCTGCATTGGCTTTTGAGGCGCCTAAAAATCGACTGTGGGGTCTGTATCGGCTTTTAAGGCACCTCAGGATCGCCCCTGGGGTCTGCATCGGCTTTTAATTAAAGCACTTCACTTTAAGATCGCCGCTGGGGTCTGCATCGGCTTTTAAGGCACTTCACTTCAGGATGGCTCCTGGGATCTGCATCGGCCACTTCCAGAGCGCGGATTGAGTGGCACTGCCCCCCCCAGCGCTGTAATGCACTGCTAAGGGGGGGCTGAGTGGGCAGCCGAGGGAAGTGAGGGGGGAGGATAGGGGTGGGGGAAATGGGGAAATGGCGAGGATATGGCAGGAGTCGGCTACAGAGGGCCGGAAGGAGGCTGGAGTTCAGCTGATCACACACCTTGAATATGTGGCTGGCTATGCTGGTGCCTCCCACATCCCCAACCCATTCCTATCCGCATGCACATCCTCATTCCCAACCTTAAGCCCATCCCCATCCCAATGCACATCCCGCTTCCTCACATGCCCTCACGTTCGTCTCACCTGCATTCCCCAACCCCTTGCCAAGTTTCCCCTTCATTCTCACTTCATTCCCACCCTTTGCCCCAACTACATGTCCAACCCACCGGTCCATCCCACATGGTCATCCTTCCTACATGCACTCCTTGCCCCATGCCACGTGTCCATCCCACCTGTACTCCTCCATGAACCGGTCATCATCCACGTCATCCTCCAGGTCGTCCAGCTCATCAGCTGTACGCGTGTCCAGTTCGTCTGTACGCTTCCTCTCTTCTGCCGGCTCCCATGCTGCTGTCTTGGGCTTCTCACGCGGAGCAAGGTTGCCGTATTTCACCTGCCAGGGGAGGAGACAAGCAGCAAGGGTTGGAGAACGGAGCGAGTAGCAAGGGTGAGTGAATGATCCCGGTTCCCATGTCGTTGTCTTGGGCTTCTCCCACAGAGCAAGGTTGCCGTATTTCACCTGCCAGGGGAGGAGACAAGCAGCAAGGGTTGGAGAACAGGCGGTGGTGGTGAGTGTGAGTGAATGACGTCGCCTCCGATACTGCTGCCTTGAGCTTCTCACGCGGATAAAAATTCATGATTTTCACCTGCACATAGAATTATGAAAGGAGGTAAGAGAGTCGTGTTTTGACGGGCATCAAAGCAGCAAGGGTTGAAGAACGCGTGGTGGTGGGAGAATGATGCCGGCTCCCATGCTGCCGATTTGGGCTTCTCAAGCAGTGCAAGGTTGCCAAACTTCACCTGCCACGGGGGAAACAAGCAGCAAGGGTGGGAGAATGACCTTTGAGGCGCCTCAAAAGGCAGCTCATCAGCCGTACGCGTATCCAGCCCGTCCGTGCGCTTTCTCGCTTCTGCCGCCTCCCAAGCTGCTGTCTTGGGCTTCTCCTGCGGAGCGAGGTTGCCGTATTTCGCCTGCTCGGGAAATTAAGGAATGTGGTGAAAGAAACGTGTTTCCGGGTGATCCGAAGGCAGCAGCAGAAGTGGAGACGAAATTTCAACAAAGAGGAGGGAGAATGAAAGGTTCTTGGGCTTTTCAGTAATCCCAGGAGGAAATATGGTCTTTGTCGTACCGAAGGTCCCTAGGCAAGCAGGAGAAGGGTTCTGAGTGCAAACCACCGAGCAAGCCCAACCAACCGTAGCCAGTGTTAAGAATCAGAAACGGCAACTAGGACAATGTCTGCAACTTCTAGATTTCCTAATCGCGATATCGTTCCTTTCTTTCGATTTCTGCTTGTTCCAAAACCGGATTCGAAACAAACCAGATCCCATTCCGTAAACCAGCGGAATGACACGGCGTGGCTCGTTCGCCCCTGCCCTGATAATATCAAATGACAGGGTATCCAGGCAACCGTCACGTTTTTATTGTTTTAAACTCCTAATGAGTCACTTTACGTGACTCTAAAACACAGAGCGGCAGTACCTGAAGGTCCTCCCACAGCGTCGTGGTTCCCCCTGCGTGTCCTCATGCATGGTGTGGTACCGACTGGAAAAAACGCCGCCATTGATGAGGGATCGCTACCGGTTCTCGTTTTGTATCATGGTTTTTTGTCCCCGAGAAACAAAAAGGAGACGATTTCTTGGGAGGTTTTGACGCGCCTCAGGACAGTCTCAAAAGTCGATTTGCGCTTCTTATCATGCCTAAAGAAGTCAAAACCCAGGGCCCCAAAAATCATTGTGTATTGAATCTGAATTCCAGGTTTCTTCACGATTCATCCTACATTCATTAGATTTGTTTCGCCACACTCTCTCCGGTGTCCGTCCACTGGATGTGATACCTCAGCAGCCACCTGTTACCCACTAAGGAATCAGGAACACGGAGAGAGCGACCGCTCCCTCCCACTGCGTTCATGGTCAGCGGCAGTAAGCGGCTGTCCTACCTGAAGGTCCTCCCACTCCGTCGTCGTGCCCTCGGGTTCCTTGTACACCGTGTGGTAATCCGCCATAGTCACGCGCTGTCGAATAATATGGTAATAAAAATGGAAAGGAAAGAAAAGCCTGCGAGTTGCGGTCTACTCTTGAATCATCTGAGCGTTTCGTAGCAATCGCGGCCTGTCGGGAACGGCGTCTTGCAGCTAACGCTAGAGCAGCACGCGATGCCTTACTTCTGCTGCAGCTGCACAGCAGTGCGTGAGCACGGCAAGCGAGGCTGGGGTGCGTGTGAGGAGTGGAGTTCCGCTTGAATATTCGCTTCGAGGTTGCCTGGGAAGGCTGATGAATGGAGTGTTCCGCACGGCCTTGAGATTGCCCTCACGCCACTTGCGGTCCCCTCACCGACGTGTCCTCTTCGTACGCCAACTCGCTATACGGGGAGGTGACACAACGAATATTCCGTGCTGGTAATGAGATTTTAACTTGAGCCAAGATTCGCTCTAGTTGCATTGTTTGGTGTCAGGCCCTCAGATTGGTTTCAGGGCATGCTGATGGATCAGTGTGCCCTGCCCAAAGTAGTGACCAAATCAGCGTTGGGGGTGAAGTTTATGCTGATTTTGTCAGGGTAAAATTTCATGGTTAACTGATTTATTAGTACAAATTAAATTTAAACTTCTTAATCAGTATTTTTAACGTAGCTGTCTGAGGCTTCGTCCTGTTGTTAGAGAGGTCACGGGTCCAAGTCCCGTGAGTGAGAGTTTATTAGTGCGTGGTGGTGATTTACGGCCTAATCCCACGTCCGCGCACCCCATGTCTTGTACCCTATGCATTTTTGTAAGTCCGAATCAGTGTGACTCAGTACACTATACTGATGGTTCAGTGTCACTGGTACACCTATACACTAATTCGTCAGGGTAGTCCTATACTTCAAACTGGAAAATCAGTGCAAATATAAAGAAGATACTGAAATTTCAGGGAAAACGAAAATCACAGCTACAAAATCAGCCTAATCAGCGTGTTTTACGCTGATATCTGAGGGCCTGTTTGGTGTTCATATCTGATAACTATGCACAAAAGGCTTGGAACTTGGAAGCGAGCCTAACGGCATGATAATCGTGCCTAAATTGACCAGAAGTTTTATATCCAGGAACCTGCAATCTGTGTTGCACAATTTCAAGCTCGTGAGAGATCCCTCCCAACCCAGCCCAATGTTATTGATCCTTGTCGTAAGACTTCAGCGATATACTGCTGCTTTCCCTGTAACATGCAACAACAAGAATGGGATGTGTTAGTATGTGGATGTTGCGTAAGGACAGAAGAACCTGTGGATGTTGAAACATGCACATGGAACGAAAGGCCAACTCATGCGACGCGAGCAGGTCAAGTGGTAGAACAAGGTCATGGAGCAAAAGACAACTGCAACCCAAGACTAATGCCAGAGACCAAACATGTATGAAACCCCAATCCACAGTTACCCCAATCACAACCACCACCCACAGGCATACTCAATCCCTCCAATCAGAATAAGCCACCCGACCGTCGCGATGGCAGGAGGCGGGTGAACTCGTCTGCTAATAGCTGCTCCTCCTCCGCCTCCCCCTTCCCCTTGCCCTCCTTCTCTCCCTCCCCATGGAGGGGCGTAGACACGAGTGTGGGTGGGTGGGCGGAGAAGGCGGAGGTGGTGGAGAGGGGGAGAGCAGGGGCGTGCGGGAAGAGGACGTAGTGCTGCACTGCAAAGAGGATGTCAAAGGCTATTGTTTCCTGCAAGGGAGGAGCAGTGGGGGGGGAAGTGTTGAGGGTGGGGCGTAAGGGAGGGGGAGAGGAAGAGCGTAGGGGAACAGAACGTAGTGCTGTATGGCAAAGAGTATGTTAATGGCTATTGACCGATGCCAGGGGGCGATACAGGGTGGAAGTGGAAGAGAGGGAGGGTGGGAAGAGAGAGTAGTGCTGCAAAGTGAACATGAACTGAGAAACTCTTTTATTTCAAAAGAGAGGTGAGAAGTGAGGGGCAAGGGGCGTGTAACACAGCGAACGGGATAGCACAGGACAGCTGAAGTCTACGTACATGGTGTAGACTGTAGACGTCACGAACAACTAAGTATACTACACCACACCACACCACACCACATCACACCACACTGAACCCAATGCATACCCCTGAGAGGGCGAGCTTGCCCACGTTGCCTGTGAAATTGACAAATGAGTCTGGGAGGGCGAGAGCGGGGGAGGAGTGGGCGGGAGTGGACGAGAGTTGGTAAGAGGTCGAGGGAGCGTGAAAGAAGGTGAAGGAGGTTAGAGGCTTGCCCACATTGCCGATGGCGTTAACAAATAGCCTTGGGGGGTGAGAAGGGGGCGGGAGTGGGGGGGAGTAGGGTAAGAGTTGGTAAGAGGTTGAAAGATTGTGAGAGGGCTAGCTTCCCCACATTGCCTGTGGAGTTGAGAAATGCGTCTGTTAGAGCATGGAGGGTGGCGATGGGTGGGGGTTGAAAGCAAGGAGTTGGGAGAAATTGGGGCAGATGAGGGTGAGAAAGGACCTGCTGGATTCTTGTATGTCCGAACACTCATCAACGATGTCAGTAACATAATTGAGGCGCCTCAAAGTCGTCACTTAACTGGCAATCGTCCAAACACACGATCAAAAGATGTCAGTAACACGCCTGACAATTTCTGAGACGTCTAAAAAATCGGGCCCGTTGGATTTTGGTGCGTCCAGATGCTCATCAGAGGGGTGGCATGGAGGACAAGGTATGCAACTCACTCGAGGCGGTCGAACGACCGCCTGTTTTTGAGTCAACTCAAACACAGAAGTGGCATGAAGGATGAGGCGGGCACAAACATCATGAGCAGCGATGCGGTGCCGCCAGTGTGATGCCCGTGCGTACGCATGGCTACTTTGTGCTCATTTGTGTCATCAACGACAGTGGTTTCGGAAATGACTCACTCTGATCAATGGACTGCACGAACATCATGAGCAGCGACGCTGTGCCGCCAGTCAGGTCCATGAGCACGTTGCTGATGCTCCACCCCACTGTGCTGCGGCGCTGCCAGTTGAACCACGCCTGGCGGTTATGAGTAGGAGTGGATAGCAGGTAGGTATGTATACGTACATGTATGCATCCGTACGTATAGACACATGAATATTCATGCACATGTAGCACATGAGCACTACCAGACCAAGTGGCAGCAATCCATGAGCATAACTGGAGGATGCAGCTATCCATTACAAGTACTAAAAGTGGCCATGCCTCATGACCACTGAATTGTTTGTAGCTGTGTGTGGATGGAAGAACTATGTGACAGGCACATGGGATGTGCCGCTGGCACACATGACGAGGTGAATTTTGAGTCGACTCAAAAGTCGATTGTAGCTTTGTGTGGAAGAACTATTTCACAGACACATGGGATGTGCCGCTGGCACACGGGACCACACAACGTGTGCCAGTGACATATCACATACGTGTTGATTATAACAGTAGTGTTTTCAGACGTCTCAAAACATATCACATACGTGCTGATGCATGCATTCATGGATAAAGATGCAGTGGCCATGTGGTAAGTGGCACGTGGCATGTGGCATGTGGCTGTGAGTTTGAACGGGTACAGAGATGCGGTGTATGGTAGCGTGGCATGTGGCATGTGGCAGCCTCACCAGTCAAATAGCCGTACCTGGGGAATGTACTTGATGGTGGTCATGACCACCTGGATGTAGCTGTGAGTTCCATGGTGTGGGGCAGGGCGGGGCAAGGGTGGACATACACGCAGAAAGAAAACGGTGGGTGGGGAGAAGAAGGGAGGCCGGTGGGTTTATGGCGACATGAAGGTGCAAAGGGAGCATGGAGACTGAGCGATGAAGAGGGAACAGTGGAGACAGACAGACAGACAGACAGACAGACAGACAGACAGACAGACAGACAGACAGACAGACAGACAGACAGACAGACAGACAGACAGACAGACAGACAGACAGACAGACAGACAGACAGACAGACAGACAGACAGACAGACAGACAGACACAGACAAACAGACAGACAAACACTCGTCTGGGCACTTTGAGTGCGAAAGGGGAAGAGGGTGAATGAGTGCAGTGGGCACGGCACAGAGGGATGATGCAGGTGGTGGAAAGCAACGTTGAGTACGGTGTGGTGTGGTGTGATGTGGTGTGGTGCGGTGCAGCAGGGTGAGTCGCACTTGAAGGTGGTGACGAGGCCGAGCCAGTCATGGTGGAAGGAGGAGAGCAGCGAGGAGAGGAGCGCAAAGAGCCACACGCCCAGGGAGATGGCCTTGCACGTCCATGACACGCGCTGCCCTCCCCTCTGCACTCATTTCATATAATGGAGGGGAATGCAGGAGCGAAGGGAGAGTTAGAAGCATGGAAGGAGAGAGTGCATTATACACCACGCATCACTCACAACAAATTCCATGCATCACATCATATCACTCACATCGCGCACCATGCACTGGCACACACACGGTGAATGCAGTGAGGGCGACGGCATGCACTGGGTTTTGAGACGTCTCAAAACATCATACTCCATGCACCACATCACACCACTCACATCATACACCATACATACAGCATGCAGTACTCACATCATGCACTCCCTCGCATCGCATCATATCACTCACATCGTACACCATGCACTGCCACACTGTGAAGGCAGTGAGCGCGACGGCATGCACTGAAAACGCCACGTCACTGGCTGACACCGGGATGAGCTGCCAGCACAAGCACGGGGGAAGAGCAGGGGGGACAGGGGTTGTTGGGAGGGGAGGATGGGGGGTGGTTTGAGAAGGGAGGGTTGGCAAGGTGGTTGGTATGCTGAAAACGCCACGTCACTGACAGACACCGGGATGAGCTGCCACACCAACCACGGGGGAAGGGAACAAGGGAGGGGAGGGGGGTTGAGAGGGAGGGGGTGGCAGGGTGGGAGGAGGAGTGGGGTGAGGGCAGTGAAGGCAGTGAGAGCGACGGCACGCACTGAGAACGCCACGTCACTGGCAGACACAGGGATGAGCTGCCAGCACAAGCACAACAGGTAGATGTGGGAAGGAGGTGAAGAGATGATGGTGGAATTCATGGAGGGCTGGCTGGAGTGGGGACTGGCGGACGGACACTGAGTGAGCTGCCATGCCAGCCACTGGGGGGGAAATTGGGGATGATAGGGGGAAAGAGGGCGGGGTGGGGGGGGGTTGGTGAAAGTGGGAATTCGTTGAGCATTCAGGGGGAAGAGAAGAGAAGAGAAAGAAACACTGTAATGGGTGTTCGAGAGGTCAAGTCAAGCACATGCAACGAGTCACCTGGGCCGTACCTCGTGGGGCACTGAGGTGACTTTTGAGTGGACTCAAAAGCCACGTGTAAAGAGTCATTTTTTTGAGACGTCTCAAAAATTCACTCTTTACCTGAGGTGACCTTTGAGTCGACTCAAAGTAATCTGGGTCGTACCTCGCGTGGCACAGGCCTCATCTGGGACGGACTAGCTAGGCCACATACCGATCAGTCAGATGCTGTAAGGCACGACCCACACACCTCGTGAGGACTGTATTGAGCGTTGGTACTGACCTCGTGAGGACTGTATTGAGCGTTGGTACTGACCTCGTGAGGACTGTATTGAGCCTTGGTACTGACCTCGTGAGGACTGTATTGAGCGTTGGTACTGACCTCGTGAGGACTGTATTGAGCCTTGGTACTGACCTCGTGAGGACTGTATTGAGCGTTGGTACTGACCTCATGAGGACTGTATTGAGCGTTGGTACTGACCTCGTGAGGACTGTATTGAGCGTTGGTACTGACCTCGTGAGGACTGTATTGGGTGTTGGTACTGACCTCGTGAGGACTGTATTGAGCATTGGTACTGACCTCGTGAGGACTGTATTGAGCGTTGGTACTGACCTCGTGAGGACTGTATTGAGCGTTGGTACTGACCTCGTGAGGACTGTATTGAGCGTTGGTACTGACCTCGTGAGGACTGTATTGGGCGTTGGTACTGACCTCGTGAGGACTGTATTGAGCGTTGGTACTGACCTCGTGAGGACTGTATTGAGCGTTGGTACTGACCTCGTGAGGACTGTATTGAGCGTTGGTACTGACCTCGTGAGGACTGTATTGGGCGTTGGTACTGACCTCGTGAGGACTGTATTGAGCGTTGGTACTGACCTCGTGAGGACTGTATTGAGCGTTGGTACTGACCTCGTGAGGACTGTATTGAGCGTTGGTACTGACCTCGTGAGGACTGTATTGAGCGTTGGTACTGACCTCGTGAGGACTGTATTGAGCGTTGGTACTGACCTCGTGAGGACTGTATTGAGCGTTGGTACTGACCTCGTGAGGACTGTATTGAGCGTTGGTACTGACCTCGTGAGGACTGTATTGAGCGTTGGTACTGACCTCGTGAGGACTGTATTGAGCGTTGGTACTGACCTCGTGAGGACTGTATTGGGTGTTGGTACTGACCTCGTGAGGAC